CAAGAAATTGAGTAGATATCCCACTATTACTTAATTTTAAAACTAAGTGGGAGAAAAATTGAGTGCACATGAAAAATTCTACAACTTGTTTGGTTGTTTCCTTTTGTTTTGTTTAAATTATGCTTGACAAACACAAATATCCCACCAGTGAAATGCTCCCATGTAACTCTCTGGCTATTAATAGTGGCTTACATTTGCTAGCTGTAAATGTGTTGTGTGTCCTTTCATACAAGCTTATGACATGTGTGGTTATGACTAGACATTACAGATGCAGCACTGATGCTAAATTAAACTGATGTAGAAGACCAGTTGCCATTCATGTGAGGCTCACAATGAGCTCATGGACAAACAAGGGAATGATGTTATGTCTTCAGAGTCATACCACACTCCACCAGCAAACCTCAGGTGAGACCAGCAAGAGGATTCAACACACTACCCTAATTTAGAAAGACTTCAGTTTCCCTAGCTGCCTGTGTTGACAACAGCAATCTTGTCTACCACCTCAGGTTGGAAAGTGAGGTCAGTCATCTGGACATAGGGAGGTGTGAAGCTAATACTCAGGCTCATGTTACAATAACTTTAGGGTCCACATCCTTGGCACTCTATGCCTACCTGCTTCAGAATGTTTAAACAAGGCATTAATACATCTCTAAAGCCATTTCTCAAATCAGTTTTCAATGGTATACAAAGAATAACAATAGCAGAGTGTCTGGGTTGAGCCCCAGCTCTACCACTACTACATGCGGAAAGTCTCTGAGCTAAGCATCTCATCTATAAAGAATCATTAAAGAACAGTGTTCACCTGATGATCAGACTAACCTTGCAAGTGCCCAGGTCCAGAACCAGGGTTATGACTTGGCCTTTCCCAATATCCACCCAAACTATGATCTGCTGGAGCACATGAAGGGTCCTGACCTGCAGACCCAAAGCTGCAGGATCTCCATGACATAGGGCAGCAACAGGATATCCAGGAGGAGCCCTAGTGATAATGATAACGTAGTAGAAACCAGAGGCCTCGAACCAGAGCAACGACTCTTTGTAATAAACACTTGCAAGTAAAGATATGGACAAAGGGTTGCTGCATGCCTCCCTGTGTCACACTGCAGAGTCCATGATGAGATTTTTAATCTTTTAATTTTTTCCCTTTAATTTTGTTTTATGTGGGGGGCGGGGAAGTTGCAGGGACAGAGGGCAGATACAAAAGGACAGGGAAATGCATGGGATCAAGATGCATGATGTGAAAGGCACAGAATAAGTTTTTAAAATGTGAGAAAAGAGCCGGGCGGTGGTGGCGCACGCCTTTAATCACAGGCGGATCTCTGTGAGTTCGAGGCCAGGCTGGACCAACAGCCTCCAAAACAATACAGAGAAACCCTGTCTCAAAAAACCAAAAAAAAAAAAAAAAAAAAAAAGTTTTAACATTAGATGAATTCATTCCAGGGATAGAATACTAGTGAATATATAAATTAATGAAGGGAAAACCTGATCTTAGCACTGAGCAATAATATGAAAACACAAGATTTCAAATAAAATTTGGCCTTAGCTAAAAAAAAAAATTGTTCCCAAAGTTGTTGTGAAATTCTAGACTCTATATGCAGTGCTCAGTGTACTGTCTGTTATGAACTACACTCTCATGGATCCAAGATATTAAGATTGTGGTTCAAGGCTAGCACAATGGCTCGTTGGGTAAGGGTGCTTGCTGCCAAGCCTGACAACCTGACTTTGATCCCGGGAGTACTCATTATAGAAGCAGAGAATCAAACCCTGAAGGACTGCCACTGTAGTGAATTCCCATCTGCTCTGCTGCAGTAAATTCATCCCTTCAGGATTGTCAGTGAAGATGGCGGGCAGAGCTGTGAGACCCCAGAAGGATGTTACGACATTCTAGGCAGAGCATGGGCTGGCCTGGGGGGGAAAGCAAGAATCTGACCTGGAAACACAGAGCATTTCCAGGGAATAAGGAACCAGCGGCAGCTGTTTGCAGAGCAGTGGGGTGGTTTGGCATCAGAGATGATATTGCTGTCTATGCCTTTGGGATTTATTTTGGAAAAGTAAAACAGGCCATTTCCTTTGCTTTTAAAGACAAAAAGGTGAAAACGTCTCTCATTCTGAAGTGGCTCTAACTTGTGTTACACTCAGTGAGGCAAAGCCTCAACTGAGATGGTCGATCAAGATTGCTTGTATCAACACAGGCAACTGGGAAAACTGAACTCTTTCTAAATTAGTCAATGTCTGTTACTTAGGGTTCTCTAGTGTAACAGAGCTTATAGGATAATTCTCTTCCTTTCTCTTCTTCTGTCCGTCTCCCTCCCTTTTACTCCCTATCTCTCCCTCTCCCCCACCTCCTTCTTCCCCTTTTTATATATACATAAAGGGGATTTATTGAAGTAATTTAAAGGCTGCTGTCTAACTGATCTAACAATGACTATCTGTGAATGGAAAGTTCGAGAATCCAGTAGTCGCTCTGTCCAGCTTGATGTCTCAGCTGGTCTTATGTATATGCTGGAATTCCAAAGAAGTATACTTCAATGCCAGTGAAGAACAGATGTGCTAGCAAGGCAAAGGCAAGCAGGCCAAGAGCAAAAGCTTCCTTCTATGCCCTTATATAGACTTTCAGCAGAAGGTCGGCCTAGATTTGAAAAAAAAGGTGTGTCTCCTGCCTCAGGATCCGGAATTAAAGGTGTATGTCCTCTTGCCTCAAGATATGTATTAAAGGTGTGTGCCTTCCCACCTCGAGATTCAGAGCAAAGGTCCAGGTCAGAAATGGATTCACCCACTTCCAATCAAACGGGGGAAAAAATCTCTCCCAAGTGTACCCTCCATGTCCAGATTATAGTTCATTCCAGATGTAGTCAAATTGACAACCGAGAGCAGCCATCACAGCCAGCCAGTGAGTGGAACTCTTTCGCAGGCCTCGCCTGAGGTTTGCTGGAGGGGTGCAGTGTTTGTCATGATCCTAAAAGTTATTCCTGAAAAGAACTCTGGCTGTGTATGTGCGCACAGAAGTAATCAATCAGTCAATACACAAATGTGTAAAGAAATTGTGGTCTAGACATCAAAGACCCCACTGACACTTTGGAGGCCTTGGCAGGATTGTCTGCCAGCTGCCAGCTTCCTCGGCTTCCTCGGCTTTTAGATCCCTTGAGCATTCTCTCAGATTCCAAGAAAAACGTAATTGATATTAAATCAAACTGACGTAGAAGGCCCTTTCATGCGCTGGGCTCACTTTTCATTCCTGTGTCTTAAAGCAAGGGGAATGGCCTCAGCCTCGTTTTTCCCAAAATAAATCCCAAAGGACCTAGACTGCAACACCAGCTCTGAAGCCAAGCTACCCGCTGCTCGGCAAAAGCTCCTGCTTCTTCCTCCCAGCCCCCGGGGAATGCATCTCTTCTGTCGCTGAGTACCTCATTCCTTCTGCGCTCTCCATTCCTCTTGAATAAGATGCTAGCCATGTGTCTGTCTCTCTGCTAGGCTATAGACCACTTGAGAACAGGAACATCTCCTTGTCCATCCGTATCCTCCCATCTGTCACAGAAGGTAAAGAGAGGAACAGAAGACCAAGGGTAGTTTCCAACCATCGTGGCTCACTCTCTCACATATTATAATAGATATTGATAAACTGCAAGGAGCCAAGAAATCGGCTTCTGTTGTAGTGAAAAAGAGTGAATTTGACAACTTTAACCATTGTTTTTTACTCTTATCATTTTTAATGTGCTGGTGCTTTGACTTGGTGCTAAATGATATTTACTGCTTCTAAGCAAATACAGAATGCTGGCTGGCTCTCAGATTCAAGAAGGACCTGGGAAAGTGCCTGCAGGTATTTGGTGAGCTTTCCTGAGCCTTGGCTTCCCGTCTACTGTAGTAAATTCCTTCTGTTGGAATTATCATTGCAGGTGGTGATCAGAGACCCCAGAGAACCAAGACCCCAAAAGGATTTTATGGCCTTCCTGGCAGATCATCAGCCAGCCTGGGGGGATAGCAAGAATACAACCTGGAAATACATAGCCCTGCCAGAAACTTATCCTTGAAGAGAAACAATGGTAAGACCAACAAGCAGCTTAACTGGCTCTTGAACAGTAGGGAAAAATTACCAGCTCTCCCCCGTATAGTGACAGTATCCATGCGACACAAACATGGAGGCACTCCAAGCCACACCAGAGCAGCATGTCCCATTCACAAAGCCTGCTCCCCAGAAAACATGCCTCTCTTTCCATGTCCCGTTCACAAAGCCTGCTCCCTGGAAAACATGCCTCTCTTTCCATGTCCAGTTCACAAAGCCTGCTCCCTGGAAAACATGCCTCTCTTTCCATGTCCCGTTCACAAAGCCTGCTCCCCGGAAAACATGCCTCTCTTTCCATTTCCCATCTCCTCCCACCCGGCTTCTCTAAATTAATATTTTTTGCACAGTGGTTCCTTTCGTGTCTTCTATTGCTTTTTAGAATAACTTTTGATGACCTGAGAAGTACTTGGCTGGGTTCCATTTTCTGCTTCCTCCGGGTGAAAGATAAGTGCCAGAAAAGGCTACACTCATTTTTTTTTTAACTAAGCTTCACTAAGGGGACATCTGGATTCCTGGCAGAGCAAGATAGAATGAAAATGGGGTTTTCTTCATGGCTGAGAGATACCTAACAAGCCAGGGTGGCACCGAAGCCAACGGCCTAGAAATGCTTCTCAATTCTATTGCATTTGTTGCATAGCAGAAGCTAGGAACTTGGTGTCCTAGTGGATAGACAATGGAGAAGATAAAACTCCAGGCTGAGTCTTTCTTGTATAGACAGAATTATGTGATCCAATCAATGCTATGCGGATGACACAAAATAGCTACTTCTTGAGGGGACAAACCGCGGTGAGATCTAGTGAGGGGCGATTAGATTCCATCAGGCCAGAGATGAGCCTGACGAATGTGAACTGAAGCATGTTCTCAAGGACAGGCAGGGGCAGGCTTCAGGAACCTAAGAAAGCAGGGAGAAAGGGTAAATAGAAGGGAGTTGACACCATACTTGAGAGTGGCTGTCTTCGCGTCCCTCATTCCTCACTCATATTTCAGCTGCTGCTGCTTCCAGAGCCTTTTAATTCCTCAGCAAAGACGCTTGTTGCTGCAGCGTAGTCACTCCAGACACATTAAGGCAGGGATTTCTGCTTAGGCAAAGTTGTATGTCAGTGTTTAAAATGAAAAAGCTTCTAGTGTTGCTATTGCTCTCGTTTTAAAGGCAATACTTGCAGCTTCTTTCATCTTAAAATTCTTAAACTTTTCTGTTGGTATTTGAGAAGTTTTACTGGTTTTGTTTGCATATTTCCTTGTTTGTTGATACTGGGTCTCACTATATTGCCTTAACTGGCCTGGAACTCTTTATATAAACCAGGCTAGCCTTGAACTCACAGAGATCTACCTTCTTCAGACTTCCTAGTGCTGGGACTAAAGGCTAAAGAGCCACCGTGCCCAGCTTTGTTGGGGTTTTTATTGTCGTGTTGTTGTTTGGCGTTGGTGGACTTTGTTTGTTTGGAGGCAGCATCTTAAGTAGCCCAAGGACTTAGACAGGGATGACTCTGAACACCTGGTCCTCCTGCCTCCACTTTATTTAACTTTTTTTTGAAAGTCTATATCCCCACAAAAAATAAGTAAAATAAGGTAAATCTATATTTCTACTACCCAGATTATAACAAAGGCTATTTTACCTAACTTTTCTATGGAATTAATGCAAATTAATAGCTGCATATCAATTCTGTCTCACTAACATGTTTTTAAAAACAAATATACATTATAGTTTTTGAGAGTGGGGGCAGTCAAGGTAGGGAAACGTATGAGAAGTATTTCATTAGAGATGTAGTCAAACTTTAAACCATTTGAGTTTTATCTAAGGAGAATATATGCAAAGTAAATCCATATTTTGCATGTAACTTTTGGTATTGTTTTTATACTAGATGGTAGCTCACAGCCATCCTAACATCTGTGTCATCATTTGGATGCCTGCAGGTCACCCCACTCCATACTCAGAGGTTCTCATCACTGTAGTTTTAGATAATGCTATGATAAGCATCCCTGTGCGTGCATCTGGCACCGCTCCTCCTTCCAAATCTATAGAAGTAGGATTATGGGGCCAAAAAGATGTGTTTTGTATTCTCCTTAGATAAACATCAAATTGTTTAAAGTTTGACTATGTCTCCAATGAAATACTTCTCATACATCTCCCTATCTTGACTCGACCCCACCTCTGACTCACAAATGCCTGAGCTGGCCATCACCTGGTCACTTTTAGGCATCAGGATATTTTCCTTTATAGATTTTAAAGTCATGATCCATTATGAAGATGAAAATTATTTATAGGGCCGAGGGAATAGTGGCTCAATGAAGAAGACAAGACTGAATATGGGGGTGGTCTTTAACTAATGTACTTTAAATCAGACCATTGTTGCCAAGGAGGAAGCATCATGAATTAATAAAATTTGTCCACCCCCATGGAGGGCCTCACCTCCCTGGGGAAACGAGGGAGTATGGCGGGGATTGGAGTGAGGGCATGGGAGGAGGGGAGGGAAAGGGAGAGGGACCTGGAAATGACGTGTGAAGCAACCTTGTTTCTAATTTAAATCTAAATTAAAAATAAAAAAAGAAAATTTGTCCATCATGGAAGATGTGCATCATTTACAGACCATCTTTCATTCAAATGGTCACCAGACTTTCATTTCCAACTTAAATTGCCTGTGCTGCTAAAGCAAACTCAGGTTTGGACCCAATTCTCCCATGTGGTGACTGGCATTCCTTTCTGTGGTCCATTTCCATGGTTAAGGACACTGAGGATTATATCCCAATATTGCCTTCGGCTATTCATGTTAGACCCAACTGCACTGTCATCTTCCCCACTGCCATCACAAACTAAGCTGGCAGAGCCCTCATGAGGGCAAGCCACAGAAACCAAGGAGAGCTTCCTGAGGGGAGCTGGCATCAACCGCGAGCTGCTCTGTTTTCCTCTCTTTTGCTGTGATTTTTAAAAATGACCAAAAGCATTAGGGGAGGAATTTATTTGGCTTACATGCCCAAGCCACACTCCACTATTGAAGGAAGTTAGGGAAAGAACTCAAGCAGAAGCTGGAAGCAAAAAACATGGAGGAACACTGCTTACTGCCTCACTTACAGACTTACACAGCCCAAGACCATCTGCCCAAGGAATGCTGCTGCCCACATCAGTTATCAGTCAAGAAAACCTCCAATTCAAACTCACAGAGATCTACCTGCCTCTGCCTCCTGAGTGCTGAGGTTTAGGGAATGTACCAGTAGCACCCAGCAGGCTGTGTTTTAAAATGGGCCTTGCTACTATACTCAGCTGGCCTAGTTAGTGCTCACCACATAGGCCAGACTGACCTCAAATCCATAGCAATCCTTCTATCTAGGTGAATGCTGTTCTTTTTTTTTTTTCAACAGTTTGATGTGCAAACAAATGCCTCCTCATTGTGAATTCCCCATTACACATAGTAGTCATTCAACAGATGCTTGTCAAAATGAACTGAATCAGTTTTCCACAATGTCCTTCATGTACTTGTTGATTTTGGAGACAAGGTCCAATGTAGCCTGGTGTCTTTAGTCTCCTGTTGCTGCTATACAATACTCTAAATGAGTAATTTATGGGAGAAAGGACTTGTTTTAGCATCCAATTCAAGGTACAGTCTATCCTGGTGGGAAATCAAAGCAGCAGAAGTTTGAAGTAGCTAGACACACCAAGTTTGCCATCAAAAGACAGCAATGAATGCATGCTACTACTCTATTCTCTTTCTCCACTTATAGAGTCCAGGATCTCAGCCAGGAATGGCCCCACCTACAGTGGGTGGGTCTTCCTGTCTCCATTAACATAATCTAGACAATCTTCTGGCATTACCCAGAGGCTTAGTCTCCCAGGTTATTCTAACCATCATGCCTAGGCTGGCCTTGACTTTCTGATCCTCCTGCCTCTACCTGCCAGGGTGCTAGATTACAGGCTTATGCCATTGCACCCAAATCACATATCTTTACAGCATTTTACAGTTGAAAAGTAATACTAGCAATAGCCATTTTCATGGAATGGAAACATAATGCCAAGAAGAACTTCCCTAAGGATCTTGAAGTCACCAAATCTTCAACTAAAAGAAAAAATTAAAAAAGTTGGTTGTCTTAGGTTTCCTATTGCTATGAAGAGACACCAGGACCACAGCAACTCTTATAGGAAAACATTTAATTGGGGCTCCCTTACAGTTTCAGAGATTTAGTCCATTATCATCATGGTTGGAAATAAAGCAGCATGCAGCCAGACATGATGCTGGAAAAGGAATTGAGAGTTCTTACATCTTGATATGAAAGCAACAGGAAGCAAACTGAGGCCCTGGGCATGGCTTGAGCACATATGAGACCTCAAAGCCCAACAACCCCACAGTGACACTTCCTCCAACAAGGCCATACCTACTTTAACAAGGCCAAACCTCCTAATAGTGACACTCCCTGTGAGCTTATAGGGACCAGTTACCCTCAAGCTACCACACTGATGTATGGTGATAAGCATCGATCTCAGCACTCCTGAGTCAAAGAGGAAAGTGGATCTTTGTGAGTTCCAGGACCGCCAGGACTACATTGTCTTCTACCATTGTAAATACTACGAATCTGTTTTCAATAATTTATCAAAATTTTAGGAGGTTGCACAGATTTGAAGAGCAGAAGTTGATCAGGAAAACTGATATTAAATGGCAGAGGGAAGGGAGACATTTTCAATTCTGTCTTTCAAGAGTGTGCATCCAAAAGCTCTTCTACTGGAAACACTTCACTGCATTGGAAAGCATTCAGATTTTGGTGGATTTTCTCCCTAATTAGGTTTCCTCCTCCCAGGCAGCCTATTGACCAATGCACTATGATAAGCATTAATACTGTCATTAAATAAACACATTTATAATAACAAAAATAAAACACGCTGTATTCCAACTGTTACCACAGTGCAAATAAGGATTGCTTCTCAAAATATTAGTTTTACTGAGGACTGTTCCCTTCTCTTTCTAAGTGATCTGCCTCCTAGGGATTAAAATATATCAACAAATGGAGTTAGTAACACAAGGCAATACAGTATGCATGTCATAGAGTGTAAATATCTTCTTCCATTCTTGGGATAACACTGTGTCTAAAGGCTATTTTGGGAGGTTGTTCGCTGTTTGTTTTTTACACTAGAGACCATATTTTAACAGCTGTTTGTCATGGTGAAGCTCTTGCCACTCTCCATTGAAAATGTCCTCATAAGCATTTATCCATCTCATTTTGCTGCAGTGTGTGATCCCTGGGTGACTTCCCCAGAGAGACAACAGAAGCAGACAGAGCACAGCACAGCAATGCGCACGCTCTCTGTTGGCTTCACAAGAACTTACTTTAAGACACTCAGACACAGATTTCATTATAGATCAGAAGATTGGGTTAGTGTATAATAAGACGACTTTAGCTTAAATACAAATGTAGAAATGATATTTTAAAATAGATAATGGTCCTAAAACCCAATGGAAAGTTTAAAAGAGAGCTTATGCTGCAGTAGAAAGGCATGAGTCTGGGGAAGAAAGGAAGGAAGGGAGGGAGGGATGGAGGGATGGAGGGATGGAGGGATGGAGGGAGGAAGGAGAAAGAAGAAAGAAAGAAAGAGAAAGAGAAAGGAAGAGAAAAAGAAAGAAAGAAAAATGTGCTTCTAAAAGGTGTGATTGACACACTTTTAATTCCAGCACTCAGGAGGAAGCAGTAGGTGGGATCTCAGAGTTCAAGGCCACCCAGGTTACTAAGTGAGTGAGCTGTCTAGTAAGACTCTGTATGGAGAAAAATGGGTTTTCCATACAATACCATAGAACTTTCACATATATCCTTTCATCCCTGCCTCCCTGACACAAGGCACCATTTGCAAATCTGTGGGATGAGTTGGCACAATGAGAGTACTCTATAGTGGAGTTGCTATGAAGTCTGGTTTGACTTTGTTTCCAATCATTTGAATCCAAATCAGTAAGTGACACGCTCTGAGGTGAGGGCAACTGAGGGATTTTACTGGGAGAGAGCATGGCTACCGGTTCCTTGTGGACTCCATAAATCAAACTCCCTGTCTGTGAGGAGCAGATTTGCAAGAAAAATCCCTTCCCATGCTTGAGCCACCTGT